AATTGGGGGGGGCTCTGAGCGTGAAAAGAGACCCAAGAAAAAAAAAAAAAAAAAAAAAAAAAAAGAAAAAAAAAAAAAAAAAAAAAAAAAAAAGATGGAGAGGGGGGAGAAGACAAAAAAACAGAGCGTCTGTATGACATACCTTGGAAAGGGAGTCTTCGTTGGCTAGCATGAATCAGGGAGCAGTGAGGAAGAGGAGTCAGAAGCACAGACAGCAGTGTTACTGAACGACACCAGCTCCATGCAGGCTACAGACAGGCCAACACACCTGCTCAGGTAACACCTCCCAACCAAACTCACGCCCTATTTGTCTTTAACTTCAGCTACGTTCAAACTGCAGGAAAATGCGACCAAAATCCAACCGTTTCATGGCACCGATCCACTTTTTTCACTTCCAATACCGATATCTGAGGTTTAGCATCAGCCAAAGCCACATCGATATATATAAAAAAAAAAACAGCGCTAAATAAACTCAAAATGATTAAAAACAAAAAACAGGCATAAATGTACTAAGTTACAAATTTATTTGATAACCATCAGTACACCAAACTTAAATACACCAATACAATCACAAGCTTGGTCAAACATGTAAAAACTACATATTTAATTTGTTCAGTCCGAGCAATTAGGAGAATAACAGCCAAAGTAAAATAAATAAAGAAACTGAAACGGACTAAAACAATAGGTCAACTACCTGGTCAAAAATAAACTACGACACACCTTCTGTCAAATGGTTTAGAAAGTGCAATTATTAATAATTCTAAATAAAATGTAAAATAAATAATATAGCATGACGTCACTCAGAGCACAAAGCATAGAATTAGACTAAATAGATCTTCACTTGTATACACATCGTCACCAATACCGGATTTTTTTTAATAACGTCCGATACCGATACCTATATCAGATCAGTGTGTCTCTAGTCTGAACTAGGGGTCGGTGATATGTACTTCAAGTTTTATCACAATAATTTTGGTACTATTGTGATACAGTCATACATTTACCTAAAAAAGAACTTGATAGTTGATAAAAAAGAACTTGATAGTTCTTTTTTAAAAAAGAACTATAATTCTATTAAAAAGAACTTAACAGTTCTGTTTTTTTAGGTAAATATAACTGTGTGGCATCGTAGCCACACAAACACAAATACTGCTCTTGAAAAACATTTCCATTTGCAATACGCTTCTTTAGGACATCAGCCGCATAAAAAACTCTGATTATATCACTAAACGGCTCACAGTAACTGCATTTAATAACATTTTTGAATTTACTGATATTTATTGATGTTCTTGTGAAACAAACAGTGGAGAAAATAGCAAAAATAACATTTCTGGTCATACTGTCACTTTGGTTTTTACTTATTCACCACCAATAAATGAAATTAATCATTACAAAAATAAATCAAAATTCTCATGATAAATGCCCCTCCGTTAATCAGACTGGGTCTGGCTATAGTCTAGAATAGAACCAGAACTCACTGTAAGGTTAAAGTCAGATCTGTGAATAAGCATTTGTCCCCCACTGCAGGATTCTTTTGTTTTTACTTGTTTGTTACACTTGTTTCAAAGCAAACAAGCTCTAAAATCAAGTTAAAAATCAAACTAATCTGGACCATAATCACATTTTTTTTGGTTAAGTTTCACAAAATGTGAAACTGAACCAAAAAAAAAAAAAAAGGGATTATTATGGTGTAATTTTTGAACACCATAATTCAAAAATTACCTAAACAGAACTCATCTTTTCCAGCAGCCATTATATAGCGGTGAAACTAGTTGACCACAAGTGCTGGCGTTCCATTTCGGTTGCTAGGTAACGGGGCTGGACTTGGTTAGGGTTGCTAGGCAACTACTCTGTGCCCCTTGAATGTGACTTATCTGGAAGTTTTTAAAATGGGTCATTTGCCAAACTATTAACTTTTGCCAAAAATGATTTTTTTAAAAAGTGCTTGGTTTGCTTCTACAAGCAGTAGAGACGCAAATGGAAGTACAAAAAATGTACAAAATATGAGTTTGTATATTCAAATGTACAAACTCATATTTGTACAGACAAATATGACAGTTCTGAACAGTTAAAAAAATAAAAGATTGCCAAAAAAGAATGCTTTTGTTTTGTATTCTCTTCTTCTATTCTTCATGGTTCCGTATTCAAGGCTACAACGTGTTGGGAATGCAGATGCAGTGTGAGAACATGTGAATTATTGAACCCTGTGAGCTGAATATGACTGAAAATACGGCGCGGTGTACACCCAGCTTCAAATTTCATTAACCCGTCACTGAACCTTCCTTGACTGGCTAATAAATAGCGACATCTATTATCATCAGGCTGTGAACCAATGACAGTGGAGACTTAACAAGGCTGGAAGTTAAAAGACAAATAGGAAGTGAAGTAAATGAAACCAGGAGAGTCTGACCGTCGCCTCACCTCCACACCAAGCGGGTCAGAACCTCAGCTGTAGGTGAAGCTGACGTTCTGAGGGCACAAATGGGACCCGAGATCCATTTAAAGGTGCGTTAGCCTCTAGCTCCGAGTTAAAACGACAACATTCATCTGTTTTTTAGGTTTAAAATGCTTTCTGTTAAACCAGTATAGTCCCCCAGTCGAAGACCAGTGAGATGTTACACCAGCAGCTGCCTGTTAGTCGTGTTATAGCTGGAACACATCAGCATGACTCTCAGAAACAAACACCTTTTTCCCATTATTATTGAAATTAGATTAGACATTAGTACTGCCTTCAGATCCCAGGATGCATTTCTGTTAAAAGGTTAAACTGGATTTATGGATGTTTATCAAAGAGCTCCAGAAACCAGTCTGAACCCACCACAGCGAGCCACTCAAGCAGGAACCATTAGTCCCCCAGCACCATAGCTCAGCTGTGCTGGTTGCTGGGAGACCGAAGGAAGGGAGGAGCTTCTTATGGAAAGACCTTTTGGACTTAATTTGTACTCCACTTGGTATTTATAAAGTGTAGTGCCATTAGGCGTTAGTAAAATACCCTAGTGACGTGCAGCTACCCTCAGATTTCCTCCCATCCAATTAGTGAAGAGCTTGAGACGTTCCAAACCGAGAACCAATGGTTTTCGGTTTGGAAATGGTAGGCACATTTCCGCTAATATCGTAGCTAAATTCTTTGATTTTGCTTTCGCGTTTTTGCTAAGTTTGAAATCGGTTAGCACACACAAACCTTTTCCATTTATACCCTAACTTCATTTAAACCATTTTCCATTTAAACCCTAACTCACTTAATTCAACATGTGCTAAAGAGTTAAAGCTTTGGTTATCAACTTAATTAGACATTAATATTTACGCTCTTATTTTGAAGTGGGATAAAAATTTTACCCAACAGTTCCATTTCCTAAGCACTTTAGCGTTAGCTTCGGCTAAGTACCGTGTTGGTATAGCGCAGAACTAATGTTTATGATTAGTGATTTAGGGTTAGCACAACTAACTTTTTAATTAGCGTTACCCAATAAAACATTATAGACCAAATGGCTGTTTTTGATTAGCTTGCTTGCACCTATTGAACAGTATTAGAGTACTGTTCAATATTGTTTTAACTATTCTATTGAACCACCTGATCAAAGTGGTTTTATAAATTTGTGGACAGCAGGCTGAGGATGTTACCACACCTACATCTTCTATCACGTTCAGATTTTTAACCAAAATTTGAAAAATGAGCTTTGAAGTTCTGATTCCAGATGATTGTGTATTTGTTTTTATTACAAGGATACTTTCTAAGCTCTCAGTTCTCTCCCTGATTATTAATGTGTGCATCCGACTACACGCCTCAATGAACACGTATGTGAACATGTTTGGATTCAACTGAACGTCGTTTAAAGCCGCAGACACACAAGAAGACCAAAGTCCGACTTCGCTGAGGTTGTTCATGGAAGCGCTCTGACAAACGAGCAGAAATCCGCCTGACGGAAGCGACAGAAAGCAGTAGAGGAAAGGAGGAGGAGTTGCACAGCGTGTTAATAAATCTAGTCTCTACAGATTGGAACTGGTTTGGACGGGGAGTCGGTCTCTGAGTTTCATACAGACCTCTCTTCCTGGTCCCCTGGTGCAGAGGGCTGTTCAGGTAACTCACTGCACTCTTTTTCCTCTGAAACAAAAACAGAACAACTGGATCAACAGCAGATTTTATTTGTTATGACTTCCAGGTTTAGCGTTCAAACTAAAATGAAAATTTGCAGGTTAACCCAGAAGGAACAAAAGTTATCTTTAATATACATAGTTCACCTAGAGTTACTGATGCAGCAAAGGTGCAAGGTGCAGCAAAATCAGTCATGTTAGATTGTAGCAATCATAAAAAACATCAGCATCCAGGCGGGATTGATAACAGGTCTGATTAAAATAAACCTGTGTGCTCAAATCGACGTTACCTCGGGCTCGAAAACGGCTCCGCTGTACACCGGGTTGGCCGTCGTTCTCCTCTTCCTCTCCTGCCGTTTGCTCTGGATCTCTGAGAGGACAGAAAGCAGAAGTTTCAAAGCCGAAAACGTTTGTTTTCCAGCGGCTTTTGGACCAGCAGCCGCCCGGAGCGCCGCTCACCTTCCAGGTGGTCGTGTGTGACGAGGCCCAGAGACACCATGAAGGCCAGTTTCTGAAAGAGGAAGAGCGGTTTTATCAGCAACACATGAAGGAGTTCAAATTTGGATAAACCAAGAGAAAACGTTCAATATGACGAGTTCTGCTGGTCTCACCTCGGGGTTCTCCTCCTTTTTGGGTCGAGGAGGTGGAGAGAGCGGCGGAGTGGAGGAGGACGGCAGGCTGACCGCGGCTTTCTGTTCTGCTGCTTCCAGTTTAACAGTCTGCTGAGAGGAGGATGAGGAGGAGGAGGAGGAGGAAGGTGACGACAGCAGGTTAAGGTTTGGAGAGATGAAGAGCTGCAGGAGGATAACCAGGACCCATGAGAAATTACCCTGGACTGGAAGAACTCACATGGTGCTTGAAATAAAACCCAGACTGTTCATGTAGTTTACAGATATGCAAATAGCACCCAGACTGCACCAATGGCTGCGTTTCCATTCAACATACAACTGTCCAAATTGGAATTATGAAAATAAATCTGCTTAAAGTTGGAGTGTGTATCTTTTTATAACCAAATATTTTTTTTGCATATTTGTTGAAACTGTCAGTGTGTTGACAGTTTGATTTGAGATGGTCTGAAAAAACAAGCTGCAAACTGGAAACAGCCAATCAGAGCCAGAGGGAGGGACTTAGAGCTGCTAATCACCCTCTGTAGCGCTGCTCATACCCAGAGGTGAGCAGAGTACCCAAAAATTGCACTCAAGAGTAGCATTACTTCAACATATTTTTAGTCAAGTAAAAGTAGCTGTCCAACAAATTACTCTTGTGAAATTAGAATTTTGAAATTGTGTTTTTTCCAGATTAGTGAAATATTAAAGTTTTGTGCAGGTTTGTAATGGAGACGCAGCTACTGGAAAGTAGCACTCTGATAGCCACCATGGACTCTTACCTTGGGTTCAGAGATCAGGCTGCTGATCTGGATGGGCGGAGCTGGAGGCGGGGGAACGGGGAGAGGGGCGGGATTAGTCAGCGCCTGGGCGGGGCTTGCAAGCCGCGTAGGCGTGGCAGTGACAGGCGTGGTGATGACGATGCCGGTCAGCGGGGTGGCGCCCGTCTTGCCGCACGGCTGCCCGTTCACGATACGGACCTGGTGGATGGGCGCAGCCGAGGTCGCCAGCTTGGTGGCCAGCATGACGGGCCTCTGTAGCAGCTGGGGGGCCGCCATCATGGGCGGGGGAGGGGCCGGGGCGATGGGGACGTTGGTGGGTGTGGCCAGCCTCGGCCTGACCTGTTGACGAACAAACAACCAATCAGGAAACGGCACCTGTGGAAATCAGACATGGCTGGGTAACGACTCGGAGATCTTCAGGCTGATTGGTGCTCCTGAAACCAACTTCCACAGGCTTCCAGGATGCCGAGTATTCCCAAATATTCCCAAGTATTTGTAAATATTCCTGAGTATTCCTGTTCTTCACTGTTGGATATTCAACCTGTTCTGATCTAATCATCCTCTTTGTCAGCGTTAAAGCTCCATTTTGTACCGCCTTTGATATCTTCAGTTGCGCTTCCTTCACGTCTTCAGCTGGGCAGGTATCATATCACCATGGTAACAGAAATGTTCAAGACTCATAGCAGGCTGATCTAGGGCTGGGTGACAAATCAATTTTTGATTTTTGGAGATTACATTTTTTTAAAAATTGGGATTTTTTTTTAACAATGAATCCCTTGGGTTTCAAAAGTTCAGAGTGATGTCAGTGCACCCATGGCGGCCATCTTGTTTCGTGTTTTACATCTTCTACTTATTTGGACTTTGAATTTAGGTCAACTCTATCATAGAATATAAAGGTCAGGCTAAGATATTTAATTCTGAGAATAAAGTCATAATGTTGCCAGAGTGCAGTGGTCATATTAGAAGAATAAAAGTTATAATTTTATGAGAACTCCAACAGGCAAAAAAAAATTATTAATATAAGGAATATTATGAAGTTATGTTTTATGCCATCCGTTTCACATGTTACCTTCTAACAAATCAGTATCAAATTATTAATAGCAAAGCTTTGAAGTGATTGAGCAACGAGTAAATTTTTAATCCACATCGCCCAGCTCTAGGCTGATCACTACAACCAGGTTGTGCTGCTCATTTCTACCACTTTGTCGCCTCCTGGTCTCTGCAGTGTCTGGTGCAGTTCATACTACAGACACCAGGGGGCGCGGCGGCTCCCAGAGGCGTTACTCAGCTCAAACATTTGCCAACATTTCCGCTTCAACTTCCAGGATTAATTAAAAAAATAAATAAATCAAAACACACACAAACAAACAGCCAGAAACTGAAAAAATACCAAGAAGCTGCAGGAGAACAAACCGTCACCACGATAAGGTCAACACACACACACACACACAGAGTCAGAGGGGGTCACAACCCCTCCACAACCACCTGCTCACGGGTCAGTCGGAAAAAAACCAAAAAAGAAGCACAACACGAGGAAAAGGGATGAGGCGGCACAGAGAAACAAAGTTTTAGTGCCACGGAGCAAGGCAGGAGAGTTTGCTTTGCTGCCCTCTACTGGAGAGTGAGCACATCACCTCAGGTAGGGCCACACACACTGGTCTGAGGGGAGAGGGTGGGGGGAGGTCAGGTTGTGGAGGCGGGGCTTCTGGGACGCACCTGTGGCTGAAAGGTGGGCCGAGGCGTCAGTCTAGGAGGAGGGACAAACTGAGGAACTCTGATTGGCTGGGCGGAGGAGGAGGTGGTGGTGGCCTGCAGCTGAGACAAAACCACAGCAGAATGTGTGTCTGTGGGTCTGACACCCCCACAGCTGTGAGCTGATCAACCCGACCGACAAACCGACCAACCGACTGCTGCCGTCACAACACGACTCTCCTCTGAGATGCATCCGCACCGACATCGGTTTAGCTTCGTTTGTTACACAAAGCCAAAACTCTGCGTTTCTTTAGAGCTTTATATGGCAGACCACCACAAATTAGTTTAGTTAAAGGGGCAGTACCATGTGTTTTCCAGGCACATAGTGCCATTTTAAAGAATAATCAAGTAACTACGTTAACTTCAGTTGTTAACAAAATGTTCTAAAAATCCTCTATATATAATTTAATGCGTTGAAATTGGGCCTCTGTCTCTTTAAGATGTACTGCTCTTCAGGAAGTCGTCACAACATCGCTCTTCTATTAATCCTTTAACTTTTTTACCAGCGTCTCACTGAGAGGAAGCTCCTATGAGCTCAGCAGATCCACCAGGTGTTTGCTAATTGCTGCTGGCTAGTCTGAAGGAGTATGGAAGGCTGCTCAGAGAGGTAGAAACTTGGGAACTGCAGCTTTAAGGAGGAGCAGTGCCTTGAAGGCGGGGCTACGTCCAACCAGGCGTTTAGCATAGCTGTATGATTGCTATGGAGATTATAGGATTTCTCAAACATGAAACATTCAAAGCAACACTCGAGGTATGTTTTTGATGAGGGAATACTATTATAAATATGATTTAAAGCTTAAAAAAAGTCAATTTCACGCAATACTGCTCCTTTAAAAGAAAAGGAGATATCAAAATCTGCAAAGTGTGGCATGCATTTGTACATTCAACCACCCAAGCTTTGGGAAACAATTTTCTCTTCATTCTTCTTTGCAAAATTGTTCTTGTACTTAGAGAAAATCTGGACTTTGATGTCCATAGATTCTCAGGTGGATTTAGTTCTGAACTTAGACTGGGCCATTGTATGAATATATTTAATATCTAATCTAAATAAGTGGTGTCCAAAGTTTTTGCCTTGGGGTCCAAGACTGGGAAGTTTAAACTACTGATGGGTTACAAAATTTATCAAATTAAAAATGCAAAAATTAGTTTGAGATTTTATTTTTGTCTAACTCTACATTTTTTAAATGAAACTTGCATACTATTAAAGATCCAAAACACAAGAAGGACTCCTCCTCAACAATAATTGTTTTTAAAATTAAATCTGTATAACATCATAAAGCCTAAACAATTTCTAATTTTATGAATAATTAGTTTTCTACTCATTGGCCAAATTTTTACCATCTTGACTTAATGTCAGGTGGCAAATACAATCACTTTACGGGCCACAAATTTGTTAATGTGACAAGCCTAAATTTAAATGCACACCACACTTTTCAGACTAGCTTGTTGTGAATGCTGAGGCTAGTTAGCATAGCCACTGACGACAGCTGATAAACGCTTTCTTTTTTCCTGTAACTAAGTTGTTTCTGTGCCGTTAGCACATTTAGCAGTGAGTACATGAGGTTGGTTGAGGTTGATGTATATCTACATTAACGTTTTGTGCGATCTATGGGGGCCTGTTGGTGGAAACTCACTTCAGAGGGTAGGTTTAAGTAAAGCTGCTGCAGAGTTGGGGAAAATGGATTCCTTTGTGACAAACAGCAAATGGTGAGCAGATCAGAAATAAACCGTCTAATTTCTGCGCCTCATGGACTCCATCTGGCAGCAGCTGAACGGCCACCACTCACACCACAGCCTGGCAGAACTCGCTTCAGACGTGGCGAGCCTATCTGAGGTCCGGGAGCGTCTCACAAACTGGCCCTGGAGCCACGGCGGGACGTACTCACCACCACGGCATTCTTGGACACCAGCCGCACGGGCTCCGAGCTCTGATTGGTCAGCCGGCTGGCCACCTGCAGGTTGATGGGGACGCTCTGCGAGTCGGGCTTGGTGATGGCTGTGGTTACCATAGCGACAGTGGGCGGACGCTGCGACAGGATGGCGCCGGGCAGGGCGGGCGTGGCGGCGGCTTTGAGCAACAGGGTCTTGGCGGTGAGGACCGGCGTGACCGTCAGCGTCTGTTCAGAGAAATTCACCCGGATTAACTCGGAGAACAACGGGATTAAATCTGAAGAATTAATAAGAGTTAAAACATTTAAAGCTGCAGTATGTAACTTTTGAAAAAAAAATATTTTGTACATATTTGTTGAAACTGTCACCATGCTGCGACAGTATGAGACAGATAATCTGTGAAAAAAAATTGAGCTCTTCTGATTCTCCCAGTGCTAACAAGAAACAACCAATCAGAGCCAGGGGGCGGGTCTTAGCGCTGTCAATCATGTGCGTCACTGATCATCTACCATCTCGCTTCTTCCCTTGCTCTCTGCAGCTAGCATACTATGGAGCTAAGTTACTGCCATAAAGTTTGTCCCCAAAAAAAATAAATTTGAAAATGAAAAAAATAAATAAATAAATAAAAACCTTGAATTTGAAGAGCAGTTTTGAAATTGTTTTTCCGTTTCAAAACTTTATTTTTGGTTTCAAGCTTTTTTAAATTTCAAAATAATATTTCAAGCCCAAAATTTAAAATTTTTTTGAACAAAATTTATGACCCCAATTTAGCGCCATACCAGAGCCTGTTGTGATGCTAAGGCTAGTTAGCATGGCCACTGATGGCAACGGATAAACAGTTTTCCTGTAACTGTAAATTGTGTTTTGACCATTAGCACATTGAGCAGCGAGTATAAGGTTAATTGGCAGCACTCAGACCCTCTTCCTGGCTGTGATTGGTTGTTGTGGTGAATCAGTCTTTTCAGAGATTCGATTGTCATGACATGGTGACAGTTTTAACAATTATATAAAAGATATATCTTTTATATAAAAGTTACACACTGCATCTTTATAATCAATAAAATATTATCAAACTGAATTGAATCAGAGCAGAGAGGTCACCCACCTGCTGCAGTCCTCCAGGTATCTGCTGGCTCTGCAGCAGGTTGGTCGGCTTCAGGTCGCCCCCTACTGGAGCAGTTTGAACCTGCAGCTGCAGTTTGGCCTCTGGTTCCTGCTTCACCAGCAGCTCCTTCCTCAGCTGCTCCACCACCTTTTTCTGAACACAAACAAAACAAATAAAAATCAGTTTTCTCCTTTATTCACCTCTGAAATGTCCACATGATCAAACCAACCCTCTGCAAACACTTTTATTTATTATAGTTTGTTACTTTTATACAAACACACAGAATCAGTCAGAGACGCATTCAGTCCATCAGGAAGGAACCATCTTAAAAACACTGATGAGCAGCAACAGGAACTGGGCTCGTGTTAAACCCAACCTGGACCAGAACTCCTCAGTTCCAGAACCAGAAGGCTCTTTTCAGTCCAAACTGAAAACATTCAATCAGTCTACTGATTATCAATATTTTTGTTAAGTGTTAAATGATCTTCTTCTTTTATATTATGACATAAATTCATGAAGAAGACAAGAAACAACAAGTACAAGGAAAGAATAAAATAAGGATACAAAGAAAGAAGGAAGAGGAGGGAAGGAACATTATAAGGAGGAAGGTGTTGAAAAACACAAAGAAGAAAAGGAAGGATGGGTAAAAGAAAGGAGGAAAGGAATATTACAAGAAAGGAAGTCGGTAAGAAAAGAAGTTCTAGACAGTGGGAACAGGAATAAAGTCTGACAAAAATTTATTTCTAATCCATAATTTCTTCTTCCACATTTCTCCAGCTCATAAAAAACTACAGAAATCAGATTCTGGATTATTCCAGACTGCAGGAATGCCAAATGTCTCCTTATATTCCCTGAAAGAGAACTAGGTATGGAAGAAAGCAAACATCAGAAGAAGAATCCAAGTTAGCAAGACAGCAGCTCAGAATCAGAAGGTCACATGGAAACAGGAAGCTGAGGAAGAGGCCCATCTGTTGCTCGGCAACAGCATGAGGCAAACGCAGCGACGGCAGATCGAAGACCGACTGAGAGAAAGAAACAGCAGAGAGTCCAAGGCTGACCTGCAGATCACACTTTCAGAGTGACCATTCATTCACTTCCTGGTTCAAACCAGGAAGTGAATGAATGAACTCCAACCAATCAGAGGAGGAGTTCAACACAAAGACCGACTTAGACAGAAAAACAGACAAAACCAGGAAATGTGGTGACTTAAAACGGTAGTTTAAACCAGAAACACCAGATTTAAGTTAAGGTGATAAATTGATTTGATCAGTTAATTAAATTTTTGGTTTTTGAAGAATTCATTTTTGTAAAATTGGGACTTTTTTCCCACTAATGCACTCCTTACTTAGTACAGCGTGATGTCAGGGCGCTCAAGGCCGTCATCTTGTTTGACAGCTTATATTTTTTGGGCTTTGAATTGAGATTACAGAAACAATAGTGTCAAAATAATGAGCATAAAGTAATAAAGTTACCAATTTTACTATTTTATAATTTTTTTTGCTGTTTTAATGTCTTGTGAGTGTATTTTACAATTTACAGCAGAGATAAAATAAAAAATATCACCAAGTTTTCTGGTATTTAGCAAATACAAATAATTTTTGTAACTAACTGACCTAAAACAAGAAATATTTAGTCTGTTTTAACTTTAGACTAAATATGAGAAAAATGTACATGTGTATTTTTATTATATTGAAATATCTAGTTTCAACAGTACATAACATTTAATCAAACGTTACATTGCACTTTATTGCAAAATTGTACAGTTTGAATATCAAGCATCTTCCAAACCTTAAATTAATTAAAATTCAAGCATATTCAAGGATTTCCAGCACCTGTACAAACCCTGCTGAGGTTTCAGCTTCATTAGAGAAGCATAATTAAGACGAATGGGAGGTTTGACCCACAGATATGAAATAAAACTTCAGATTAAAGCAGCTTTTCACAATCCAGCGTCTCCATCCTGTATGATGGGAACCGTCTGATCTGTGCATTTCACCTCAGAGTCCACACTCATCACAGCACAACAAATAAAAAAATCCAACCTGCAGGGAGCGGACAGAAATAGAAACGCTCAGAAAGATGATAAAAATAGATCTGCAACCAACAACAAAGACGCTTCAGCATCAAGTCTTCAGAAGATCCTGAAGCTCAACTAAAAAAAAAACCTCCAGTTTTTAAAGAAAAATCAATCTGAAACGACAACTCCTGCAGCTCATTTACATTATTACTCACATCATCATAAAGAAACAGACACCCAAGAACAAAAAGAAACTGCAAAGAAATTACGGCAAAGCCACAATCAGCCATAAAGAGGATTAAAAGAAATACAAAAACAGCATTAACATAATAATTAAGCCAAAAAAAAGCATAGAAAATCTGTTAACCTGCAGATAAACTGAAATGTCAGCCAGAAAGAGAGAAAAAGACTAAAAATAAAAATCACTTCATATAAAACCCAAACAATATGAATTTCTCCTTTAAAACTGAGGAAATCAGGCTTTAGACTTCTTGATTATTTTCAGAATAAAAGTCTGAGGTTCCCATCTGCAGAATGAAACCAGGAGAACATTGAGATCATCAGCTCCAAGTCACACATCAGAACGGGTCAAGAATCTCTGGTTTGTCCTGAGGCCAAACTAGACGTCCACAGAGAGGTCATAAAGGTCACAGAGGTCAGGGGTCAGCAGAACTCAGAGGAGGTCCCAACATCTCGGTATGTTATGAAGATCAACATCATCCTGTCACCGAGTTTAATTCAGTTAAAGTTACCAGATCACTGGTATCGACAAGGAAGGAGGAGAGGAAAGAAGGAAGCAAGGAAGTAGAAAGGAAGGATTCAAAGAAGGAAGAAAGAAAACAAGGAAGGAGGGAAGAAAGGAATGATGCAAAGAAGAAAGGGAGGAGAGACACAAAGAAGGAAGGATGAAAGATGCAATGAAAACCTCAAAAGGAAGGAAGGATGCAAGCAAGAAAGGAAAGAAGGTTGGAAAAAAGGAATGCAGGAAGGATTCAGAGAAAGGAAGGAAGGATTGATAGAAAAAGAAAGAAGGGTACAAATATCTGTATAAGCAAGTCCAGGCAGCAGTAGAACCGGTCCGTATTGCCCAGGTAACCAGCAGGTTGACCCGCCGTGACCCCTGACCTCCAGGTGAGCTGGTCTACCTGTGGACTCACCTGCTTCTCGCTGAGTGCTGTGATCTTTGCCTGGAGTTCGTGGAGTTGCTTCTTCAGATCTGCGTTCTGAAACAAAAACAAAGCGGGTCAGGCTGAGCATAACCGGACCGGATCCCGGACTGGATCCACATGGAGACCTGCTGGGTTTTACCTGCGGGTCCTGCTTCATCTGAGCCACCAGTTTCTGCAGAAGGAGAAAAATAAGGGGTCACAGCGACACATGGTGGTGGCAGCAGCATCCTGCGGGTGTTGGACCCGGAGACTCACCTGATGGATCTGGATCTCCACCTTCAGAGCCTCCTGTAGCGTCTGTAGTTCCATCATGGATCCAGTCAGTCTGCCAGCCGATCGATCAGCCTGGAACACAAACCCGCCCGGTTACCACTTCCTGTCTGCCGATGACAGCTTCCTGTCTGAGCGGTCAAAGAGGCGCGGCGTTTTTACCTGAACACCTTCTCCAGTAGGAAAACCATCCAACTGAAGCATTAAAGTGCCGCTGAAAGTATAAAAGGAAAAGTATTAAACTCTGGGACCGATTTCTGATTTTTTAGGAATAAATACTGAGTGATAAATCGATTTTATTAATCTGATTATTGGTTTTTGAACAGGCTGGTCACAATAAGAAATAAATCAGTTAATAAAATGATAAATTAAAACAATGTCAATAATTTCCATTTGAATTATTTACAGTTTTTCTCCTTTTACCAAAAACTGGATGATCAGTTCTCTGTAAGCTCTTTTTTAGAAAAGAAAGTGAAAAACACCACTAGAACTGTGGCTCCTGATGTCAGAGGCAGAGAAAACCCACAGCACTCGAACACACCACGGAGACCACACCCTGCTGACATCATCTGAAACCATTTTTAGGTCCTGATGCTGCAGGTTTTCATTTACATCAGCGGTTCTACACGCTTTCTGAAGATCTTTCTTTTATTTTTGGCTGATTTTTCTCTGTTTCAGTCCAGTGAAAGACAAAGTAACAAATATAAAACATAAAACTCCCTCCACATCTGAAAGTCCTGTTTTTAAAAGACAGCAGAGTTAATTTCCCATTCAGATAAATCATCTGTACTGCTTTAAAAAATTTTATTGGAACTAAAATATGTTACATTTGAGATGTTCATGGTAATAACCAAAATATCCAGTTTATTTACTTTCCTTTGAGTGTAGGAGCTTTTTTTTGACAGAATGATGAAAAGTTCCTCTAAAAGTCATAGTTGAATGAACTAATCAAAAAAATAAAAATGTACAGTGTTTGAATTAAGACTTTAAGCACTGTTGTTTTTATTAAACAGGACTCACCACCTGGCTGTGGGACTGGACTCCACCCCTCTGTGCTGCCCTGGAAAACACATCAAACGCACTCCATCACAAAATCAGTCTGCACTTTTATAAAGGACAACAAATCAACAGTTTTCCATTAAAAGAGAATAAAGAAATGTCTTTCAAAAAAAATCACAAAAAAGACATTAGGCTCCATGTGTTTGCAACTAATCTAAAGATATCAATGTTTCAAGATCTTTAATTATTACTACAAACATGAAATTAATCAGTTATAACTGATAATCGGGTTAAAATTTTCTTTATATTTAACTAGAAATCTTCCTGTTTCATCTAATGGTCTAATAATGATTTTACACAGCGCCCCCTGCTGGCTGCTTACAGGTTAGACAAAATGAGTTTCATTTACAGAAAGAAATGTCAAAATCCTCTGAAGGTCTGAAACGAAACTCATCCATCAGCGGGAAAATAAATTATTCTGGAGAAAATCTGACAGATTTACAGCTGGAAGTAAAACCTAAACAAACCCGCTTATTTTTATTACACAGTCACAAAAAGAGAGAAAAGTTAGAGTTAAAACAAGCAAAGAAATAAAAAAATCAGCTCAGATTTTATTACCTGTTTGAACTCTGCGACTTCTTTTTCTCATTTAAAGGCCGATAAATCTGACTCAGTCTTTATTTTAAGCCTCATGTAGCTGAAAATAACTATTTGTACAAACATTTTCTAACCAGAGAAATACTGCAGGAACGCTTCAGAGAAAGTGCAACACTGCAGAAACAGAAAACCGCTTTAAACTGTTTATTAATAATAAATATTCCTCTGAAAATCAAGATTTTCTTTAGAAAAACTAGAAAAAAACTGCATAAACAGTTAAAAAAATAAACATTAAATCATAAAAATAAAAATAATTAAACAAAGTTAATAAAAAAAAAAAAAAGACAAGACAATCCAGAGACAAAGTTTATCTAAAAGTAACCAGGAGATGCTGAGTAGGTTGAAGGTTCAAATCTGCTAAAACAATTCTTAAAAAATATATATATTTTTTAAAACTTTATAATTTTCCAGTTTGTTTCTCATTCAAGCAGCTTCAACCTTTAGAAAAAAAGTTAATTTTTCCCATTTTCTCCAAACACATCAACATATGAGGTGTTTAATCTCAGAATCTACAGATTACCAAATCCAACAACTAAGATCCTGGAGGCCAACATGTTGAACTCATAATCTAATCTGGCAGATTAAACCAACATCAGAGCAACAGGAGCACAGTCCAGTTATGTTTTCTATCCTTACATCACTTTAAACATTTTTATTGTTTTCTAGACTTTACGGTGCAGCAGAGACCCTCTAGAAAAAGGCATGTCCAAACTTTCAAAAATATAATTTTTAAAAACTAAAATAACAAAAAATGTTGATTTTTTTTTTTACCTGCTCAACAATAAACTAAGTATGAACTATTTTAATTAATCAGATTTTATTGTGGGAACAGCATTGTACACCCAAAATTTTTATTTATTTTTCTTATGTTTTCCTTCCAGTTTTGATTATTATTCTGGACTTTATTAAAGAAAACTGGAAAAAAAAATTATTCTCAGTTATTAAAAAAAATGTAAAAACGTTTCCCATTTTTAGTTGAGTTTAAAAAAAAGATGCGTTTTTAAAGTTTAAGTCAATGAGCAGATGTGATCCTAGTTACCATGACAACAGAAGGAAACTGATTACTTTGTGTTGCATCTGACGTTTTTATATGTACATTTTGATTTAAAAGTTTATTTACCCTACAACTTTTTATTATTTAGATTTGGTTAGAAAAGAAAAAAAATAGCAAAAAGAATTTTAAACGTGTGAATCAAATATATATTATAGTGAATTTATTCTTTACTTTCAGCTAGAAGTACAATCTCTCAGACCCCACACATCCTGGACACAAATCATTTAGATCAACAGTTTGCATATTTGGACTAATTCAACCTCGTCTTCCTCTTTTGTAAAAATGCTGCATGTACTTTTAAAAATATGTACTTTCATTTCCCTCATAGTAGTCTTTATATTAAAGATGTCTTAACTGACAGAAAACATTCTTTGTTTCTGTGCAGAAATGTGCGAATAAAGTCAGTTCTGGTTCTGAAACGGTCAAGTCAAATCAGATTATTGTTCTAAATACCAAAAGTACAACTAATACAGAGACAGCAGTATGTTTGAAAGTGAAAAGTACTTTCTAGCTGCTTTTACAGCTGTGTCGTTTTTTTAATGCATCAAATTATTCTTTTAATGTTTTTATTTTATTATTATTATTATTATTATTATTGTCTCGGTTTTGTTTTGTTTTTTACTGTGCTTTATGAATAAAATAAACTAGGTTTTTAGACACTGTTGTAAAGAAATAAAACACTTATTATTCCTATAAAGTTTTAATTCTGGTGAAAACAGTAAAATATTTACATTTCACTTAGAGATAAACATTCGTTAGTTCCTCACAAGAATGAAAATTAATAATCACTGTAAATCAAAAGCAAACAAAAATACTAAACTGAATATTACTTGACATAAAAGTACTTTAATACTTTGAAATTCTGTCTGGATTTTGAATACTTTTTTTTTCATTGCTAAACTTAAAACATTTTTTAAGTGATAAAGTTTTGTTTAGTTGAGTCAAAAATAAGAGTGAAACTTTGAGACAGAACTGAACTTTAGTGGCTCTGATACTAAAACCTTAAAGTTCTTCCAGAACCAGAAGTGTTTACCAGAAAACTTTCTGCAATACTTTATTCTTGCTGAGGTCTAGTACAAGTATTAAAACAGGATGAAAGTCCAGCAAGTTGCTCCAGATGTGGAAAACTGTCATACTTTCATTTCCAAAGTATTGGAAGTACTTCATTTTTTCCACTGAACTTTCCCGTCCTGAAACCCAAAACATCCCCAACAATCAGCGTCAGAACTCTGTTAGAACATTTGCATGTGAAACGTAAAACCAAGCAGGAGGGAAGTAAAAATACGCAGAAACTTTGTCACTTCAGTATTTGAATATCAACTGCTGTTAAAAGAAAGTACATCACCTGACAGCAGTACTTTAAAAATACTTTATAACAACACAGAGGCATTTCTTTCTCAATCTGAACTATTTTAATTAGATAAAAATACCTGAAGCTTCGTGAGAATCTGTTGAAAATTCTTAAAATGATTTAAGCTTCTTTTTCCAGTTAGAAACTACTATACTATAGTACTACAAGGTACTTTCTAAAACCTGTTAATGAACATAAAAAAGCATTTTAAAGTTGTGCACTGTATACTGTTGAGCCCTGGAGTATTTAAATAAAGTAGGCAGGATGTGGTTTTATTGTAAAGCAGCAGAAAATCATCCAGTAATACTTTTATCAGAACTTTAAACCCGACTCAGATCAGCCAGATTGAAGTACTTTCAACATTTCCTGTAAAATGAACTACAGAAAAATAAAAACAAAATGGGACCAAGATGATCAAACTGCTCAATATATGAAGTACAAAGTAGTACATTTACTTTTAAATGTAATACTGTCAGTTTTATACAACCTGCTGTCTTTAGTTTCACAAACTGGAACAGTAACTGTGCTAAAAGAAACAAAAGTACACAGATAACTGTATATCGCTGTGTACTTTATTAGTAATCTGCAAAAATAAATCACTACATACTTCATTTTTTAATCCTGAATTTTCTTCCGTCCACAGAAACAACCAGCGTAAAAACCAGAATTCCCAGTAAAACAAACTGGGAAGCAATAATAAAGTAATCCAGGATGAAAATACCTCAGTTTCACAAGTACATCATTTATTCTAACAAGAAGTAAAGTAAAAGTATTGTTTTTCTTTTTTTAATGAAAATGTTGAATAAGTTCTGCTTCCTATTAACTACTTTCCAAAAACACAGCAGTACTTTAAAGTACTTTGTTTTGACACTTTAAACTGCCAAATATTTGTTTACGTCACTGGACTTTAACAACTTACACTCTGATAAAACTTACCATCAATAAAAGTTACTTCAATATTAAACTGTAAATATAAATAAATCAGAATTAAACCAACTGTATTTGCGTTTGAAACACAACTGACAGATACTTTTATTAGTACTGAGAACTATTAAAATAAAGCAAACTAATAAAGTTGTATTATTTTTTTTATCTGAATCTGTTTTGTGCTCAAAGAGAAACCAGAAAAAAATCCAGAGCTCCCAGTAAAATGTACTGGGAAGCAATAATAAAGTACTGCCAGATAAAAATACTTCATTTCAGTTCAGATGCGGTGCAATCTGAATCTAAATGTGAAAAATGGCATGTTTTTTACCCTGAAAGTAAGTAAAAGTACTGCTTATTGTATTTAAAATGGAAAAAATACTTAAGCTTTGCTCTATAACAACTAATCTCTACATACACTGTAGTACTTTAAAGATAATAAAATGTACTTTGTTTCTTAAAAACACTTTACAATTTTCTCACTAAAATATTCTGGAGGAAAAAATTACAAATTAACTCAGGATAAAAATACTTTCAAAGTGATTTAATGAGGTACTTTCATATAATCTATAGTAAAAATCACAGTTTCAAGGTCTGAATCAATATATTTACTTTGAAGTGCAGGAAAGTACAAGTACAGCTTTTTAAAATAGAAAAATACTTTAGTACTTCTGTTTTTCCAAGTACAATTTAATGAAATGCATGCAGTAGTACTTTAAGGGAACAAAGTACCTTTTAAAAAAAAAATTTCTTGGAAAAAAGTCGAGTATTTAGATTTAACGCAACTGAAACTCAAACCAGGAGGATTTTACCAAATATTTATTTGACTTTATTAAAGTATTTTTAATTTTTTCACATCTAGAGCTTGATGGAAAAGTTATAATAACTTATACAAGGCTTAAAAACTAATAAAATATAACAAACTACAGAGGTTTGTAATATTTTCAAACATAAATATGCTTTAAACATGCAGAAAAAAAAACTGAATAAATTTAGTATTTTCTGTTAGATGTACTGGAAAACAATGAAAGTATCCCAAAATACTTCAGTTTTTACTTAGTTATAAGCTGAAAAGGGGAGTTAAAGTAGAATATATATTAAGTTTACACCAAATATTTAAATATTTCTGCTGTCAGAGTACGTCTAAATAGTTTGTACACATTAGTTCTCTAAAAACAGATTATATTCCCTAGTTAAATCTAAATAAATAAAAATATTGATGTCAGTTGAGAGCTAAAATGTATCGATTTAATGATGCATTTATATTAAAAGGATTGTTTCTGTCTTACGTTTGGTGGAAAACAAAAGTCCTATTATCAGTACTACATTTAACTACTAAAATCCAACAAACTACCAGGGAATCCTCGCAGAGAAAATGGGAAAAAAGTCCAGTATTCCCACTGGAATATATTGGGAAACAATAACAAAAGTAGATTAGAATAAAAAAATAATCACTTTTCTTTATAGAAGCAGGAAAAGATTGGTCTTTATTGTTATTGTAAACCCGCAATGATGCTTCATGAGCTCTGAAATTAAATCCCAACAGCTGCTGGAAACGCCAGCAGCTCCAGATTACACTCCAGTATTCCCAGTGACGAGGGAATAAAAGTGAAAGCACCAGGTTCGGCGTCCCGGACGGGATGTGGTGTAATTAAGCTGATTGGGTCGGAAAGTTGTTGGGATATAAACTTCCATGAAGCCGCATGCCGCCGCAGCAGCAGCAGCAGAGGCCCGAAAACACCAAGAAGTGAGGCTAAGATGGAGGGTTGATCCTGCGAGCAGCTCTACAAACTCCGCTTTTCTTTCGATTCAGGGGGAAACCAGCCATTAAACCGCTGCTAACCGACCGCGGCCTAACCAACAAACCCTCCGAGCTGCCTGGCAGATTCCCAGCAGAGGGATACCGGGAGACATTTCACCAGGATCTTCGTTGTTTTGTCGCTTTTTTTTTTTTTTTTTTTTGTCGGTGTGAAAGCTCCGACCGTTCACCGAGAACAAGTGGATGCGGCCTGAAGTTGGTGTCTGATTCACAGATGCCAGTAAAGGAGCATTCCGCTGTTTTTGAAATACTGAACTACATTAAGATTAGTGCGAAGTAAAAATCTAAAACAGTTACTCAGTTCAAACCTGGAATTAATTATTCTGCATCGTTAATTAATACTTTAACACATGGGAAGAAACTTTTATATATATTTTTTTAAAGTTAAAGAAAATTAGAAATGTCACTGTTTTGTCATCTGGACTTTGTTATATCAAGATCAGTTCTAAAACTCAAATTCAAGCTGACCAAAAAAGGCAAAATTATTATTCTAAATGGTTATATAGCTTTAAAAACAGTTTGAGATCAAATAAACTTGTTTTATTTGTCAAAGTTCCATAAAGAACCATTTATGCTTTGATAAAAATAAATATGCCAAAATAAATAAAGACCATCAGTAAATTGACTACATGTAAACTTTTATTAGTTTTAATAATCTAATTTTTTTTAAAGCAGGAACATATATTTATATGTATAAAAATCTTTGTATTTAGTTTTTCTGTTTTCGCAAACAGAGTAAACTTTTTTACAAATCACAATGATTTCTTAAAGAATATTTACCCAGTCTGGATCACTTAAATCACTTTTAAATTGTTTAAGTAGAGCAGTTTTCAGGTAGAACCCCAACTTAGGTAGACTAAAAATGGACAGCTCGTGTTTTTATAAATAGAATCAAACTTTTGCATATTGAAATGTTTAAGGAAATAACACTAACACTATAGAACAAGTCTGACTTGTCCAAAGTTTGCAGGCACGCCCTATTTTAGACGGTTTAGATACCAAGAAGAGAATTATATTGTCTTTCTAACTTGTGTCAAAACAATCAGAGTAAGTTACATAAACCATATCATGTGTTACACATCATCTAGAATTACTCAGCTCATGTTTCACCAATTTTGGTATTGCAAATTTTAAGCAAGAGCTGATAAACTTTAGTCCAGATTTCCCCCAAAACAACGGAATACTCCTTTACTAAACAGCTATCAATCAGAGGCTAACTTCAGCACCGTTAACGTTAGCCGCTAACGCTAACTATCCTGCTAGCTGCCCGGGCTAACGGCGCCAGCAGGCGGATAACTTCACGCAAAGAGCCGTGAGGAGCCTCCGTTGGAGACCTGGAGAAAAAACCGAGGGAGAAGATGAGCAGCAACCCTGAAGGACGCCATCTTTTCAGAACAAACCCTGGCAGAGAGCCGCCGTCTGTCGGTGGCTCTAAGTTCTGTCGGCCCCTTGTCCTCCAGAACTCCAGAACCTTGGTCCGCAGCTAAACACACACAGCCAGCCGGAACACACACCCTGCGGCCGCTCACACACCTGCCCGCACACCTGCTCAGAGCATCAGACTCATCCTTCAGCCTCCTGAACTTCCCCACAGGACTGAATTAAAGTTATGAAATTTAAAAAAGCCCACTTACTCAGCAGCAGTCCTCCTCCAGATTAATTAAATATTTTCCTCCCCGCAGCCGATCCACGGTGGAGCCACAGCTGAGCGGGAGTCAGGCCGCCTCCTGCCCGCAGAACTGCACTTTGTTCTGCTGTTGGAGTAAAAAAAACGAGTAAAAACAGAGAAACTGAAGCTACAAAACAAGAAGAACTCTTCTTCAATCTCATTCAGCTCAGCCTCAGCACAACACAGATCCCTGCGCCGCCAAGCTGGAGGAAGGGGGCACAAAAACTAAACCGCGGCCCACAAAAACCTCCCCAATCCGCCGCGAAGCGTTTGATACCGGCTTAGTTCGGCACCAAAGTTCGTTAAAACGGACCGATCATAAAACCGAGCCGGACAGAAAGGCTATTCGGTGAGCGGACTACTTTTTGTGTCGGTGCGGCGAATTTATTTCACTTTGCCTAAGGAACGGCGGTGCTGCGACTCCCATTGCCTAGGGAAAAAACCCGGATGTAAACTCAGTGAAACTCTACGGAGAGAAAGTCTTTCTCGCACACACACACACACACACACACGCCGAGGATGGAGTTGTGTTCTTGTTGTGTTCTCCTCACAGGCGGGCCGTCCGTTCCCAGCCTCCATGTTCGGCTGTTCGCGACT